CTGATCTTGGAAGCTAAGTCAGTTTGTGGATAGGAGACTGACAACACATACCAGGTATTGTAGACTATATTTCAAAGGACAGAACTGGCCAAACCACCTCTGAGTATTCATTGCCCAAGAAAACCCTATGAAATCCATGGGATCACCATAAGTCAACAGGCAACATGAAGGCACATACACAGAGACACACCCAGAGGTGACAGATGCAAAAGAAAAGGATTCTAGTGTAGGGGCACGGACTCACCAGCACTCCAGGCAAACTCTGCACAAGCTCAGGAGTCCCCCTTAAAGACCCAGGCTGCGGTGCAAGGAAGATGCCACAGGTTGGATTTTTACTACAAAGGCTATTTATTGCGGGTTAACAATAGGCGACAGTAGGGTGCCCACTGTACAGAAAGGTCTGTCACAACCTCAAACTGGGGTTGCAAGGCTTTTATCACTTATACAGAAAGTCCAAAGCATATTCTCACTGGTGTACAAAGATCAATTATTTCATTGGTCTAAGCTGGCTAATACAAATTATCATTGGCTCTCTATGATTCTAACAAACAAGAAGCCAACAGGTGGTAGCTAACAATGGCACTTTTCATGTCATTGACCGTGAGCACTTAACTGTAAAGCCTCTGTGAGTCGATCTTACCTACTTTTCTGTTTCAAGCACAGATTTCTAGCAACAGAGATATTAGGGAGTATTTCTACTCTGATGAATTCATCCTTGAGAGTATTATTAACCTCCCTGTAACCACTCGTTCTCCAAACATCAGCATTTTGCAAACAAAGGCCTCTGCAAATCAGGACATATGGGACTTACAATCACTGAAAGCATCCATGAAAATTCTATTTAAAACTACGTCTCCCTCACTAGCTTCCAGGAAAACCAAGCACAATTTAACCAATATCACACCATCATGCCCAGAGGTGCCTGTTTGCAACATCTGACTATTTTTCAGGTGTTCTGAGTTCCTAAGGTATGTAATGTACTGAATTGCCATACTCGTCTGAGAAACAAGAAGAAGCTTGTCAACACAAATTGCAGCATGTTAAGTGTGTGGCGTTATGTAAAATAAACCACATGTAGTTCACATTTGATCAGCCTACACACTGCCTTGCCAGAGAAAGAAAATATGCCATGAAGGTGAACAGTAAAGAACAAGTAGTTTACTCTTTGCAGTTCAGAACAACATATGTGCACCAACTCACATAATGTCCTTTTATGAGAGTTCTAAAATGATTTTTCTTTGTCCATGTGGATAAATTCCTTCAACAGCTCATGAAGCTAGAGCACACTCTAAACTCTCTCTGCTTCTCTCTTCTTCTCACTGCTAAACATCTGCATAGCTCAAGCCTGAACAAAAATGTAACAGTTACCAAAAGTCCCAGGCTCAGTCATCTCCCCGGGCATTGCCTGACCAATCAGCTTTATACATCTTATTTACAGTTGACACACACACACTCATTGATTCCTTGCATGCTCCAACAAAGTGAACCAAGTATTCTTAGTTTATTTATTCATTATATCTGTCCCTCCCTTCTTTCATAGACCTCAAGGTGATAACTGCTGGGTTTGCTAGCTAGTTCCCACCCAGACTTGTTAAGCTCTAGCTCAGGCATGGGCAAACTTGGACCCTCCAGGTATTTTGGACTTCAACTTCCACAATTCCTAACAGCCTACTGGAGGGCCAAAATTTGTCCATGCCTGCTCTAGCTGCATCAGGACTATATCTTTGGACCAGAACTTGGGAAAAAAATTGGAATTGTAGTCCTCAAAAGTTGCATTTCTTATTTCTTGAATAAATCACATAGACAATGGAAGCATTGGACATTTTGCTAAAGTCTTCAGTACAGGTGAGAACAAGAGGCAGGAGGAGAAACCTATCACTCACCCACGGTACCGATTTTGGGTCACAAGCTAGAAGAAAGTAAGGCAAACCTGCTCTCTTTCAGTACTGACAGGGTTGCCTGGAGAAAGAAGCGTCAGGCGGCAAGGCTCCTCGCGGCGTCTCCCATGTAGCCACAGGGCCAGAAAGGCAAAGACGCGAGGGAGCTTGGCCTTGTTAGCCACATCCATCGTCCCATCCCGGTCAGAGTGGCACATCTCCAACTGGACAGTCCTCTGGTTCCCTATGGGTCCATAGTTAGTGGAGGCACTCCATCAGCTGGATCACACCCTGCTTTGCAAAGGACCAGCCACCAACTCAGGTGATAAAAGCCAAACGGAAGTGTAGCTCAAAAAGTACAGCAACATGCAAACACAGTTTCCTGCCTTTTCTTGAAGCAAAACACTTGTGGTAAGTAAACTTCACATACTTTGCAGCTTTCGTGGCCCAGTTTCACTTTTGCTGTTCAAAGGCAAACAAAATTTAGAGTGTCTTTTAAATTCTACAGGACATGGTTTATAGCAGGATTTTTTTTTTAAAAAAAAATCTCTACAGGACACAAATGGTATTCCTTTCTGTCAGGACAGAGACAATTTCAGCCTCCCAGTAGAGATAGATTATAGTTATCAAAAGGAAGAATGAAAGAGAAAAAGAAACACTACATCATCTGGAAGAATCCAATTACTGCAGTTGTTGTGACCATGGGAACACATAGTACTGCACGTGGGAACAACCTTCTAGAAGAGGTTTAGCGGAAAAGAAGAAAAAGGAGAAAGTGCTTTTTGCAACAGTGTAGTCCTAGATGAGCTGATCCCATAACAATTCACATCAAGTGGGAAAAAATCTCTTTCACATAGGTTTAGGTACATCTATATAAATCAAAATGTAATGTTAGTTTGTGGGATTAACATAACTCAAACAACAGTGGATGAATTGACACCAAATTTGGACATTACACCCCCCCAACAGACCAACAGACTAACAAGAGACCATCACTCATAAAACCCCTCCCAAAAAAGCAGTGGAAAGAACTTAAAAACATAAAAAGCTAAATGACAATACAGCACATGTGCGAAAATGACTCCCCACATGTGCAAGGGAAAAGAAAACGAACAGCCACCCCAGCTCTCCTTTGCCCATTCCTGTGCCACAGCCACATCGGAAGCTTGCATCCCTCGATGGCAGCAGTTGGAAGTAGCGATGAGGAGACCTAAGGGTGACATGAGGGCACTAACCATGGAGCCCTTGCTCTGCAGAGAGCAGGGATGCACCTCTCTCAAGTGCTACCTTCAAGCCCAACTCTTTTCTGGCCTATGTCTACAGGGAAGGAATGAAGAATAGAAAGAAGGAAGGAGAGAAGGAGGGGGGAAAAGAAGAAATGAGGAAAGGAAGAAAGTAAGCAGAGAATGAAAGGAAGGTAGAGAAGGAAGGAGAGAAGGAAAGAAAAAAGAGAAGGAGGGAAATAAAGAGAGAGGGAAGGAAGGAGAGAAGGAAAGATGGAGAAAGAGAGAAGGAAGGAAAGAGAGAAGGATGGAACCAGAGAGCAAAGGAAGGAATGAAAGAAAGAGGTAGAGAAGGAAGAAAGGAGAGAAAAGGGAGGGAAAGAAAAAGGGGGAAGGAAGGAAAGAGGGAGGGAAGGAATGAAGAAGAGAAAAAGGGAAGGTATGCCACAGCAACGCATGGCAGGTACCTGCTAATACCTTATAACAGAGATTATGTACACACCTTATAACAGAGACCTGGGGGCCGGGACCTTTGGGGGGTCGCGAGGGGGGTGTCAGATGGGTCACTAAAGATAATCAGAAAACACAGATTTTCTGTTGGTCATGGGGGTTCTGTCTGGGAGCCCCCGGTGGCGCAGTGGGTTAAACCCCTGTGCCGGCAGGACAGGTCGCAGGTTCGAATCTGGGGAGAGGCGGATGAGCTCCCTCTATCAGCTCCAGCTCCTCATGCGGGGACATGAGAGAAGCCTCCCACAAGGATGATAAAAACATCAAATCATCCGGGCGTCCCCTGGGCAACGTCCTTGCAGACGGCCAATTCTCTCACACCAGAAGCAACTTGCAGTTTCTCAAGTCGCTCCTGACACGACAAAAAAAAAAGGCCCAATTCTATCATTGGTGGGGTTTAAGGGGCTATTTGACTGTAGGTGAACTATAAATCCCAGCAACTACAACTCCCAAGTGTCGGGTCTATTTTCCCCAAACTCCGCCAGGGTTCACACTTGAGCATATTGAGTATTCATGCCAAGTTTGGTCCAGATCCATCACTCTCTGGATGTAGGTGAACTAACTACAACTCCCAAACTCAAGGTCAATGCCCACTAAACCTTTCCAGTATTTTCTGTTGGTCATGGGAGTTCTGTGTGCCAAGTTTGGTTCTATTCCATCATTGTTGGAGTTCAGAATGTTCTTTGATTGTAGGTTAACTATAAATCCCAGCAACTACAACTCCCAAATGACAAAATCATCCCCCCCCCCCCCCAAATCTTTGCATTATTTGGGCGTATCAGGTATTTGTGCCAAATTTGGTGAATGAAAACACATCCTGCATATCAGATATTTACCCTACGATTCATAACAGTAGCAAAATACAGTTGTGAAGTAGCAACAAACGTAATTTTATGGTTGGAGGTCACCAGAACATGAGGAACTGTATTAAGTGGTCGTAGCATTAGAAAGGTTGAGAACCACTGCTGTATGCTAATTTCTGGTGGGTGGATCAGAGAGTCTACCTGGAGGACCTAAAGATTACTAGAGAGGTGTTTTCTCTCTCCCTCTAAAAAAATCCTTTAAAAAAAGAATAACATTACCCCTATATTTGTGGGGGTCCTACAACCCTAACACCCACTTTTGTTTTAATCTTTGTTCTATGTATTTTAGTGGAATTGTGTTATATCTATCTGTGTGTTTAAACTATGTTGTACCCTGCCTCGCATGGACATCAAATGGATGATGACACTGATACTTATGAAGGCAATACTAAGACAAAGGCTACATCAATTCAACTCTAACCGCATCCAGAAATACATTGTCCATCTCTCAGCATGAGTTCAAGACATGCAAGAAAGGTGAGAATGTAAAAGGTGAGAGCAGGGGTCCTGCAATGATGTGTCTTTTTTACCTTATCTGCAGCATTCACAGAGTCTTTCTCTATCCAAGCAGTTTCCCGTTTTGCCTGCAGAAGAAACAAAAATGAGTATCAGAACGCCTATGGATATCCAAGCAATACTTCTATAAAGCTTTCACTTAAAGAGCAAATGTCATCTGCAGGGGCTGCAATATTGCTAGTCAGAAGTACAACATACGCCGAATTATCAATTCCCTCGTTTTCAAAATTGGTGGAATTCTGGCACGGTATGCACAATCAGTCATCTTTCAGATTTCTAGTTTTTGAAGTCAAGCTTTCAGTACATACTGACATAACAAAGTGGGGAAGGGGTTCAATTTCTCTCTGCCATTCTCTCTTCTGTTCCAGAAAGGGTTTAAATCAGAGCTTGGAAATTGCGAGTGGATGGGGTGGAGGAGAGTAAGTAATTCATCCCCATTCCTCCTTACAAGGTTGTGCCTGAATATACAATTTGCGTAATTACTCTTTACTTCAACATCTTAATAGTAACATTTGAGGAGGAATGCCATCTATGTGGTTTTACTTTTAGAAAGTTAAGAGTACAGTAGAGTCTCGCTTATCCGACCTTTGCTTATCCGACCTTCCATCTCATCCAATGCTCCTATCCGACGACCCCCTTCCCTTCAATATTTTTCCTCAGTTAGAGCACACCCCAAATCTCTCTCCATTCCCAATAAGTGAAAAAGGCAAAACGAGGAGGAGGAGGAGGAGGAGGAGGAGGAGGAGGAGGAGGAGGAGGAGGAGGGAGAAAAAGGGAAAAAGAGGCAGAACCGCAAGTGGAAGCATCCTCCTTCCTTCCCTCTGTGATTTCCATGCTCCTCTTCTGCATCCGGGTACTTCCTGCTGGGCCCCTCTAGACCTGAGGCGTTGCCTTGCCTTAACTCTTTGAGTCCCTGTTGTTAGTATTCTAGGTGTCTAGCGCCACGTCGGACAGGTAACAGTAGGAGACTCCGTATTATACAACATTTTCGTTTATTCAACATTCTGCCAGTCCGTTTATGTCAAATAAGCGAGACTCTACTGTACTGTTGTTGCAGATGTGTGCCTTCAAGCCTTTTCCGACTTATGACAATCCTATCACAGGGTTTTTCTAGCAGAATTTGTTTAGAGGGTTTGTCCTTGCCTTCCTCTGAGGCTGGGACTCGCTCAAGGTGGGTTTCCATTCGAACCCTAGATGCCCAGTGTCCTCATCAAACATTCCAACCACTGGCTCTCTGACAGTGCCGCCATTCATTATCCAGAAGAGCAGTGCATTGCAGGTAGTTTTGCTACTTGGCCCACTCTACTTTCCAAGCTCTGGTTTGAACCCTGGAAACAGAAGGCATTGAGCAACAGTGGATTATACACATTTCATAAGCAAGCTTGCAGAATATGAGTGCTTTTGGGTACCAGTATCCACAGCCTTAGGAAGAGCTAGACTAGAGAGATAAACACAGATCTGTTGAAGCATTCCCCGAAGTTTCTGATAAGAGTTGTGCCGTGGTGGCGCAATGGGTTAAACCCTTGTACTGCTGAACTGCTGACCTGAAGGTTGGGAGTTTGAATCTGCGGGATGGAGTGAGCTCCCACTGTTAGCCCTAGCTTCTGCTAACCTATGAGCCCCTGCTGTTAGCCCTAGCTCCTGCTAACCTAGTCTCACATTTAACCTATCTAAAGGGGGTGGTGCAGCTGGTTAAACCACTGAACTGTTTAACTTGCTGAACAAAAGGTTGGTGGTTAAAATCCGGAGAGCGGGGTAAGCTCTTGCTGTTAGCCGTAGCTCCTGCATGTTTGAAAACATGCAAATGTGAGAATTTATTTATTTATCTATCTATCATATCAGAAGCACACCAAAGGTACAGTTGTAATGTACCGTATATTCCGGCATATAAGACGACTGGGCATATAAGACGACCCCCAACTTTTCCAGTTAAAATATAGAGTTAAGACAACTCTCATGCATAAGACTACACCCACGTATAAGACGACCCCTGACTTTTGAGAAGATTTTCTTGGGTTAAAAAGTAGTCTTATACGCCAGAATATACTGTATTTAGAAAACACAAAGTTTAAAAACTTGGTATTACACTAAATGACCTTTGACCAGTTGGCCACTTGGAGTGCCTCTGGTGTTGCTATAAGAAAGTACTTCACTGTGCATGTGGAAGGGCTCAGGCTGCGTTGTAGTAGATGGTCTGTGGTTTGCTCTTCTTCACACTTACATGGGGCATGAGAGAACATGAGAGAAGCCTCCCTCCAGGATTGCAACACATCTGGGCGTCCCCTGGCAATGTCTTTGTAGACTGCTGATTCTCTCACACCAGAAGCGACTTGCAACACAAACAAAATGTGAGCAGATCAATAGGTACTGCCTCTGCAGGAAAGGCAAAAAGTGCTTCATGCAGTTATGCTGGCCATACGACCAGGAGATGTCTACGGACAAAGCAGGCTCCTCGGCTTGGAAATGGAGATTAGCACCTACCCCAGAGATGAGCAGCGCCTCCAAGAGCTGGAAATGAAAGGAGAAGCCTTTGCCTGTGTATTTGTGTTGTATTTTATTGTAACAAGGCATTGAATGTTTGCCTGTGTTAATTTATATGTTGTAATATGCTCTGTGTTTGCCTGTGTTTATTTATATGTTGTAATGCGCTCCAAGTCCTCTCGGGGACAAGGGCGGAATATAAATAAAGTGTTGTTGTTGTTATTATAGTTTGACAATCAAATATGCTGCTTGGGAGTGCTGCGGAGTCTCCTTCTTTGGCGAGCTCTCACACAGAGAGGCTTATTTTACACCGAAGCTTACTCACACACCTTAGGATGATACTAGCTTTGGCCCACTGACTCTTAACAGGCTTTGGCCTACTCATCTCCTCAGGCCGACACTAGCTTTGGCTCACTGATTCTGACAGGCTTCGGCCTACTCACTCTCGCCAGACCGACACTAGCTTTGGCCCACTGACTCTAACAGGCTTTGGCCTACTCACTCTCCTCTGGACGACACTAGCTTTGGCCCACTGACTCTAACAGGCTTCGGCCTCCTCTGGACGACACTAGCTTTGGCTCACTAATTCTAACAGGCATCGGCCTACTCACTCTCCCCAGGCCGACACTAGCTTTGGGTCACTGGCTCTTCCAGGCTTCAGCCTACTCACTCTCCCCAGGCCGACACTAGCTTTGGGTCACTGACTCTAACAGGCTTCAGCCTCCTCTGGACGACACTAGCTTTGGCCCACTGACTCTTACAGGCTTCAGCCTACTCACTCTCCCCAGGCCGACACTAGCTTTGGGTCACTGACTCTAACAGGCTTCAGCCTACTCACTCTCCTCAGGATGACYCTAGCTTTGGSRCACTGYCTCTTKCAGGCTTCAGCCTACTCACTCTCCCCAGGCCGACACTAGCTTTGGGTCACRTAAGCGGCTGAGGGGGGAAATGAAAGGGCCTGAGGCTGTTAGGAATGGTGGGAGTTGAAGTCCAAAACACCTGGAGGGCCAAGTTTGCCCATACCTGGGATAGCCCTTGGGGGTCCCTTCCAACTTTATCTACTATCTTGTTTGGAAGCTCCCATGATTTTATCGCTTGCCCAATATTTAGAGCAGATAATATTTAGAGCAGGTAGCGAGTTTTCTCTCATAGCTACTGAACCACATCTTTAAAGCTGACCAGAATCCAGGCTTGGACTTTTGGGATACATACAAAAAAAGCACAGCACAAATGGAAGTAGGAGATTTGGCAACACTAACCGGCATCACTGGGAAAGGAGAAGTGTGCATGGTTCACACATCTCTTATTCTGTCTGCTTATAATTACCAGCAAAGAAACATATAGCATCCATTTTTGCATATTAATCAAATCCACACCACTGTGGCAGAAGCCTGAAAAATCAGCGGCAACGTGCGTCATGAAAACTGGCTACACTGAGTTCAATGCCAGAAAAAGAAAATGCAAAATCCATATCAAGATAGTATCTTTACTAAAGCCTTCATGCATTTGATTGGAATAACAACAGAGCATCTCCCTGACCTAAACCCAATCCTTTAGGGCTGGGCTTTAGCACAGCGTGTTAACTGCCAGCTGCAGAAAATCTTGCCAATTGAAAGGCTGACAGTTCAAGTTCGGGTTGGGGTGAGCTCCCGGCCATTAGCCCAACTTCTGCTCACCTAGCAGATCAAAAACAGTAATGTGGGCAGATAAATGGGTACCACTTTAAATGGGGAGATAATAAAAAACACTCATAAAGGACATGCCGGTGATCCGATCGGGAGTTTGTCTATGGACAACAAAAGCTCCTCAGAATGGAAAATGGAGCGACAGCACCTCCCCGTTGCTGAAGTCAAGCACAGTCTTCAGATGCCGGAGATGGAAAAGATGGGAAAGCTTTTACCTCTGTTTATGTATTTTCTGTTCTTGTTAATTGTATAATGGCATTGAATGTTTGCCGTATATGTGTTCTGTAATCCGCCCTGAGTCCCCTCGGGGAGATAGGAGTAGAATATAACTAAAGTATATTATTATTATATTGTTTACTCTATCATCCATCAAGCCAATGGGAATTTGGTAAGTCAATGCTTGCATGAGATTGTGATTAATCGGGTCTATGCTAGTTGGGGGAACCAATTTAATTGAAGCCTGATCTCCCCCACCCCCACCCCCCTGTTCACCAGTTTCAAATTTTAGATGATAACTGTTGTATCCCAGAGCAGGAACACCTCTGTCCTTAAACACCACACTAGTACAGCAAAATCATCAAGCAGTTTATTGAAGGATATATATAAGCAAAGCAAAGGTAACAGGTAGTCCAGGTACTTCCAAGATCCAAAGATGCAAAATCCGGACAACAAGACAGCATGGAGATCCAATACACAGAACACAAACTTGGCAAAACTTGAAACATGAAACTAGAAATCCACTTGAAAACAAGGGCAGCCCCATGTAGAGTGCATTGCAGTAATCCAGCCTAGAGGTGACTAAGGCGTGGACCACCTTGGCCAGATTCGCCTTCCCGAGGTACGGTCGCAATTGGCGCACGAGTCTTAATTGTGRAAAGGCCCTCCTGGCCACCACCGARGCC